TAGAGAAAGTCGTCTTAGATGGTTTGGTCATATTAAACGTCGACCATTAGATGATCCGATTAGGAGAGTAGATGTTTTAAATTCGACTTGTGTTAAGAAAGACAGAGGTAGACCTAGGAAGACTTGGGCTTATTGTATTAAAAATGATCTTAATTTACTAGAACTAAATGAAAATATGACACTAAATAGGACGCAATGGAGAAAAAGGATTCATGTAGCCGACCCCACGTAGTGGGATTAAGGCTTTGTTGTTGTTGTTGTTGTTGTACTAAAGAATGCTTTAAACATGAAATTTGGATTAGTCATCTATGCGCAAAAAATTAAATTATTTTAAACAGAAATATGATTTTTAGGACATATAATATCTAAAAAACTACATCATATATATAAAATCTACTTATAAAATTCACCGACAAATTTTCAAACATTTTAAGCAATAAAAATCAACTACAAAAAAATTTTTAGGTGCAATAAAAAATATACCTCTCCATTTTTTTACCAATTAAAAAATAATCCACCCCCATATGGTCTGAAATACATACTAATGAAGTCCAAAAATTACAAAGCTGGAGTTAAAAATATATTATGCATTATTGTTGCAAGCTTAAATAGTTCCCAAAATTATTGAAACTGATGCATCTATGCTTGAATATAGAGGAATCCTCAAACAGGAGCTTTCATTCATATCCAAGGAAGAATTAGTTTGATTCGCTTCTGACAAATGGAATTCCACACAAGCTAAATATTCAACCATAAAAGAAATGCTTTCCAAAAATAAAATCTATTATCTAAATTTCAAGGTTATCTATTGAAGAAGAAATTCTTATTATAAATAGATTTTAGTGCAATCGAATCTATTATTTTGAAAGGTGCAAAATTTTAGTTGCAAAATAAATCTTTGCCACTTGACAAGTCATGATTTTTCGATAAATTTTATGGTGGTTGTCAACTGCCTAACGCAAACCTCCACTTTCGCATCCAGGACTTGGGACCGGTAATAACAGTGTTCTAGCTATAGGTAGA